AGCTGCGCTGGAGGCTGCGGCTGCAACGGCGCTTACAACGCCGGTTACCTGTACTAAAAACAAACTATGACTATTGGAATCTGTCTATAATAAAAACTACAAATCATTGCGATAAATTTTTATTATTATTTAACTTACTAATCGCGCGACTTATATACATGTATCAAATACACATTATATTCGAAAAGTCTAGATTTGACTACAGTCATTCGAGATGAGACTAAGTGCATTTTTAAAATAACTTCATAATATTGCAAAACAGTTAGAATTAATTTGGTATTTCAATTTGAGTTATAAATAACCAAATTATGTTACTTACTTAATATTATTGTGAATTACCATCTCTTAAGAGCACATTGCGGTAGAGTTTTTAAAAAAGTATTTTTTCAGCGAGATGAACAGGTTTATACATCGATATAATATATATTACATATATCTTTATTTCTTATTGTGTATAAAACATGTTTTACATGATTTTTATAAAAATAAAATAAAAAAAACTACACAAAAACATGGACTGCAGAGTCAGGAACCTCCTCCCAATGCGTTAAAACATCGAAGTGACCATTGATGAACATCGGCAACTATAGCCGCGTTGTTTATCATTGATAGCTGTTCCCGTGCGGCATCATCCTCATGTAATTATGAAAATTTTATGTTATTGATTAAATTTGTCCAATTATCAATAGCAAATGTCAAAATGACATGACATGACAAGCCTTGACAATCTTGCTTCCTTGATGTTGGCACCAACATGGTCTCTTTCCGACCTTAGGGTTTTTATCTAAAGTATTTAGACCATAAGGTTAATGGCGTGAAAATATATAGCCTAAAGCGTGACGTAAGTTTAGGGCTTTTTATTAAAAAAAGAATTATTCAAAAATATGCTGTAATTGCTGACATCTTAGGCAACAAAAAAGTGTGTTTTTACGCTTTATTATTATATAATATAGTGTAGATTGGCAAAGGATGCAAAGCAGATTATACATAATTTTGTACCACTACTCCAACATAGAAATCAAACGAAATGCTGGACGAACTGAGCAAGATGGCCACCACTGATTAATAGTTAATAATTACTACATTTTTACTATCCTCTAAATATGTATACTAACATATAGGATTTGACTAACAATGTGGTAAAATACAATTGAAAGCAGTATCAGAAATAAAAAAAAGTACAATATTTGCAGTGTTCTTTTCATGAAATCATTTGAATTTAACAATTATAAATATTTATTAGAACATGTATTTTTTATATACTACCAAACCAACACAAAACCTCGACAAACCTTTCCAAATATATAAATATTTAAATTCTCTTAACTGCATCTATTTCCTGAGAACTTTAACCCCTAGAAGTTAAAGGTGTCCAAGAGTACATTTATGAAAAAAAATATATTTTGCAAAAAATTAAATTAATGTCATCTGTACTTTCAGAATTAGACTTTTTTTTTAATTCAATCTATAATTAAAAAACAAAATTCTTTTATACTTGTAAAGAATAATAAAAGGCTCTGCTTGCATATGGAGTTCATCATAATATTAATTATTGTCGGCGCGAATGTACAAAACTCAAAAGTAGTTTTCGAATTTACACACTTGGACACCTGCTACCTCTTAGGGTTATATATGTGTTATATTTCAGGGGAGGGGGGGAATGCTTAAACATTCTATGCTTTTTCTCAAGCTACTTCTCAAGTGTAGCTGAATTGCTACAATATGATTTCGCAACCGCTTAGATTTTCTTAAAACACAAGAAACTGAATTATTACATTTACTATAAAAATATTTCCCAACCGTGAACAATTAAAAACAAAATCGAATTTAAAAATTGTATATTTTCAGATGACGTTGTTAATGAGATATTTCTTAGTAGATTCCACAACCACATCCACCAAAGGCACGTCCAGCGATAGCGGGACCGTAGCCGATACCAGCAGCGAGACCGGGTCCGTAGCCCCAACCAGCGGCAGCGGGGTAGCCCCAAGCGGCACCTGCGATGTCTTCGCTCACCATGCCCACGGCACCGTTGCCGCAGCCGTAAGAGACGGCACCAGCGCCAGCGGTAGGCAGCGCACCCTCCAGACCGACGGTACCCAGGAAAGGAAGTTCACCGCCGACGGCTAAGATGCCTCCGATCTCGTTCTCAGACAGAACGGACAAACCGACGGGTGGGATGGGGGAAGCACTGGAGGTGGGGAATCCACCACCGCTGGATGTTGGGACGGCGGCCAGACCGCATCCGCATCCGGCTCCATAGCCACCCCAGGGACCGGCAGCGAAGGGAGCAGCGGCCATCAAAGGAGCTTCGAGACCCAAGCCAGCGCCGCAGTATGCGGAGATTGTCTAAATAAATCGAAATTAAAAATTAGATATCATTTCGTTACTATCAGCACTTTGTTATACGTCTTCGTTTTGACTTAATTATTTTCATAACTTACCTGGATCAAGAGAGCTTGGGCGCAGAAAAGAACGATTGTTTTGGCAGACATATTGATTGTACTTATGAGAAACAAGTGTGAACATCAATGAGATCCTTTGGTATTTATAGTGCTTATTTTGAAACTTTAAAGGTTGTGCTAACCTTTGTTGAGGCATTTTTTTACTTGCTACGCCTCTACGTGTTAAATGCATTTTTGCGATAAAACACATAATAGTCATGAATGTAAAAAATGCGTAAGGTGTTTTCCAACGTGTTTCATGTACATTTCTCTAACAATCGTGATTTCGTGACTGAATGGATCACTGCCTCACGTTTTCTTATGTATGAAGAAATTGTTTTAATAAGTAAGAGTAAATATATAAAAGACACTTTTTTTTTGACAAAGCATTCAGTCAAAAAGAAAATCTACAACATGTCTCCTTTCGCCTTTTTGCTCCTCTGCATTCAAGCTTGCTTGATCCAGGTATCATAAATTTATACTTTCATTATAAATACTTTCAGCCTAAATGAAACTAGTTACTGGAATTTCATGTAAGGCGTAGTTGAATAATTTTATATATGTACGTGCAAATAAATAGAGGAGTTTTAAAACGTTTTGTGATTTTAACAGAATGTATACAGCGAGTGCCTGGGAGCCGGCCTTGGTCTGGGCTACGCAGGTGGTTGGGCTGGTGAATACGGACTCGGCTATGGACCTGGTTTAGCCACCGAGTT